TTATGATTAATGTTTGTTAAAAGCGAGTGACACTTGAAAACCTGAATACTCGAAATCGTTGTACACTACTTGGTGAACGTGGACGTGAATTACTTCTAGAGTTCTTGTGGCTGCCCTGCAGGACAGATGGCGCAATGGGCCCGATACACGAGTTGTTGAGCTTATTACGCGCGTGAATTTTACATGTAATGGCCGTACGTATAGACGCTCGTTAATCTATCAAAATTCTGACCCGTTAGCGCACGTACAAGACGTGACAACGGAAATTCAGCGTTTATTTCTAGTTGTTACTTTCTAAAGCTCTAGCGATTTGCGCCCGAATTCGCGCTTCGCACTCGATCGAGTATGTCTCTCCGCGCTCTGCCCCGCTAAAGCGCCTGTTCTGCAGTTACTTGTGAGCGTTGTTTTGTCGGTGAAGGCAGGGTGGCCATTTGTTTAAACTTTCACGTGGACTTCGCAACGCATGTACGTATACTAAATGAAGCTCGCCGTTTTATTATGTCAGCAGTTCTTTAGTTATTCTTGTCATGATAGAGTCCGAAATACAAATTGATTAAAGCCATGCATGAGTAAGAGCCAGGTAGTATCTAAAGGTCGCTAATCTAGGAAACATTGTTGCTGGCTGATTTTGAAACCATTTTGCAACGAGGAACTTTATTTCACAAACAAAGTGGCACGCATGCCCATAACAACTGTACAACAAGTCTATTAATAATGGTAAAACGACGGAGTGAAGGCCAATTCCAGGTGATTAATCTTCTCGTCGCCAGGGCTACGGGACGGCGTTGAATTAGCTGTCTTGTTTATTATTATGATAGCTTGCTTGGATTTGACAGAACGCAACTTTTTTGTTGTCTTTACACATTCAGTGTAGTCTTCACATGAAACTGTTGATCTCTATGAGTTACACTGCCACTAACGCTTTCGGCGCATTCTGCAAAATGTCCCTACCGGATATCAGGGGGAAGATTCACAGTTTGCTATCTCATACCGGGGCATTGACCGAAACTGACGCGCAAGCTCTCTGCCAGTCTGCCGGCGGGGAAACTGGTGATCAGTTCGAACGTTCGTTCCCACTGGCTGATTGAAGGTTGTGAAAAAAGAGAGATAAATGATATCACTCGTAGATGTTGTCTCCCCTCTTCTATACGAATATACGAAGATTCTTACAAGAAAAAGCTGGAGTTTTTCTTAAACACCCGAGCGAAATCTCATTGTCCAACGGTTCTTTCAGGCGGGTTTGTTACATGACCTTATATATATCTCTGACTTTCCAACGTGACAACCTTATTTCCAAATTTAAAAAGAGCTTAGAGACAGTCTCGACATTCAGTGATTAAGTGTTCATCTGTGTCCTTATCTGCCTATTATGATCATATCATAAATTATATTTCGTCCTATTTGAGAAGGTTGAGAGGTGAGGGGCCAAGAGTGAATATCATTTTTGAGTTTTACTTAATTACAGTAATTTTACTGACAACATTTCCTGTCACCACAGTTGACGAAATACTCAGGATACCTCACCTCTTTGTATGCCTCCCCAATGTCTTGACCTTCTATAATCTGTGAATCCCAACTTTGAATACCTGACATACTTGTTGAATCATACTAGTCGGGGTGATTCAGGCTGGTTTCATGCCGCGAAAATCAAAACAAGACTAATGCGGTAGAAAGCCATACAAACAGTGAAGTTAAACGAAAGTAATCTGAGCTTTGGTGCACGAATCTAAACATACTTAAAGGAAATTAAAATAATAAAAAAAACATATACATGTATTGTGAAAAATATTGAAAGGGATCCCAACACAGAAAGCCACTGATCTATTTGTGGCATATCAAAATATTAATGTAAGCGTCAGTGTTGTTCTGTTTGTTGATTGGTAGTGCCAAGAGAAAACAATGTATACTGTTCCTGTGTAGACAGTGATGCTTAAAATATTCAGTGGCATTTGAGCTGAAATATACATGGGAAAAGAGCGAAAATAAAGGACATCTCGGACATCAACTTGCGTAGGCCTGTTCCAACGCTCAGATTTAGCAGAGTGTCAAATTGCATATCGTTCAGAGCAACTTATAAATAACCTTCTGTTTATTTCCAGTTACCCATTTCGTTACATCCACCAGGAAGAATTCCAAGATTTGCGATTTTTTTTTTGTTATATAAATACAGTGTTTGCTGCATCGAATCCGGCGGTTCACCCCTCCCCCAGTCCGCCCCTCCGGCCTCCCCCAGCCCCACCCCTACTACCGTGTCACTTCACAGTCTTTACATACTCGCTGCATTCTTTTGATGGCAGTTTATACAACGAACAGTTACGTAACAATCCCCTTTTGTGTCTCTTATCAAAGAAATATAACTTTTCACGTGGAAATGCCTCAAATTGACGGTGAATTTTAAGAAGGAAGAAACCTCTGGTACCGGTTTTAACCGTTAAAAGGCCTTAGGAAATCAAAGCAAAAAAAAAATCTTTGAGATCAAAGGATAAATAGATGCGTCAAATTTGCAGAATTTAAATAGATCGAAATTGGCCTATCAGAACTAAAATCGCATGACAGTCACTGGGGAATGCGTATTTTACCTTCCAGTGAACTATGGTTGATCTATGGACCTTCATGCTTTTTTCACGTGCACGTACGTAGCAACCAATCAGCGACCGCAATGCTGGTCAGACGTGACAGCTGTGAAAACGAGGCTATTCTGTAATTTCACGGACAGATATAAATATGGTTTTGAAATGCTTGATATGTTCTTTATTTCCACTGTACTGAAGCGCCTAGGCGAAGCCTTACCTTAAATCTTTTGGATCAAAACCTCAGCGATCTAACAAAAACTAACAATGGCTGATACACGTAAACGAGTTTTGAATTTCGCTGCTGGTCCCGCCAAACTACCAGAAGAAGTAAGTGAAAAGAGAAATTTTACGCTACACTTTGACTGTATTTTCCTTGTATGTGTTTTAGCTGTATAATTTTTGAATCGCAAGAGCTCGTCTTTTCTAAGCAGTGTTATGTAGCACCTTTTCTATCAAGTTATTTTTGAAATTTTATATTGATATTTACTAGATCTGAAGAATTAATTCAAGCTGAAAGTTCAGCGGTAGACTGCAGCGATCTTCACGAATTTTATGCGCGAATTTGTCCACAGTTCCTGACATCAATCACGATTTTAGAGCAGACCTTGTTTGGATCAAACTATGCTTCGAAACCTCGTCAGTAAAGACCGGAAATTGTGATTTATTGCATTACATTACATTATCATTGCGAAACAGTTTGTAAAAGTACTTTGGTCAGTGCTAACGTGAGAAACTGAACAACCGCGAAGCTAACGAAATTGGCGCGTTTCCCTAATATGGGGAGCAAGATGAATGCGTTTCCCTAATATGGGAGATGAGCAAAACATCGAAGGGAGATTCCTTGGACTGTGCTCAACGCGATCTGTCATTAGAATGCGACACTGTACTTCTGTTCCTAACTTCGTGGAGTAATTCATGTATTGTGGACGCTTCAGAGGGAAGCGATGGGCTTTTATTTTGCTTGTCCGTCTCGAGACTGTCGACCAAGCGGGGCGAAGCCATGAAGCAGAATATTGTAGGGATGGGCCATGGGCCGTGTCGTTTAAATGCAGAATATTGTATCGATATAAGTCACTCAGAACTACTCAGTTTGTGAGACAACAAGGTGGCATTGAGTTTTAACAGAAAAAAAATGCTTTTGTAACAATATGGTTAATAGTTTGGCTGATGCAATCGTGCATAATTTAATATTCCCACAAGGAGTGCCTTGTGATCTAGAGATATATGCAGTTCAATATGAAACTATTATTCTTACGTAACGACTTCTTCGTTGCTTTACCACGAGCACAAATAAATATCATTACATGAACATATACTCTAGACACTAGTGTTTATTTTTGTTTTCTATTCCTTTTATGTGGTATTTTGGATATTTGTACTTATATTGTAGTATTTTCTTGAATCAAACCCGTGAAAGTGTGGAGACAGGCAAGGAATAGAACTTATAAATGTAGCCTTAAAATTTTTCCTCAGTAGTGTGTTAGTCCCTACTGTGATCGTAACACGAAAACCATTCCCTTTTCTGTCATGTTTGAGCTGCACAATACCAAACTTGTCCCTATATTAAGACATTACTTTCCTTTCTCTTTCATTTGGTCTGTTTTCTCTGACTGTTCTTTCAAACACAAAGGGATTCATAGGTTTCTTTGTTTCAAGTATCATATTTGGGCAAATGTATCGGTAGGACTAGCCACAAAAATGTAAAATAATAATACAAAGAAACTTCTAAAGGCTAGAGAGGAAATGTGAAAAGCTATAAATTATTTGGCAGCACCTGTACATGTTGCTGCGAGTATGCACCAGACCCAAACTTCTTCTCGGCCAAATTTTGAATCATGCAACCTGTAATGTTTATTCGCCAAAAGCTGTTGAAATATTAACACAAAGACAATGTTACGGATATTGTTTTCTTTATTTGTGGGTAAAATAGTGGTGGGAATCGGTTGAGATTTCGCAATCGATCGTCGGAAATAATCAGATTATCCTAACCGATCGATCATTGATCATAATCAAAAGAATCTACCAATAAGCATTCCATGAGACTGACACAAAATAAACAAAACCAGCGTGCCACAAACCTTTGTTGGTGTATTGCTTTCTGCAGAGCCTACAGATTACCTTCGTCATATCCAAGTTTTCTTTTGTTTTGGGCCCTTCCTTCACTTGATAAAAACCAAAATATTCCCACACTTTTGACCTGGCATTTCCAGGATAACGACGGATCTCCCACTTGGCCATTTCAGCCGCCATGTTAGACTCGTCAGCAACATGTAAGCGAGGCAGGTCTGAGAGGACCCTCGGAATTAATTTGAGGTGACATTTCGCGGCGATGTTGTTTGTTAATTCCTTTCACTCGCTAGTGATAGTGATACTACAAATGCGAAACAGTGAGTTTGTTCGAAATACAAAGCAGCTTAGCATGCCACATCATTCAAAAAAGCGTGGTGTATTTGAAGTGACAAAAACACAGCGTGCAGGGTAGGCACAGGTGAACACATTCAATCTTAGATTATATCTGCTGTTATGACTTAGAAGTTAGGAGTATACGAAAAAAGACAACTCACACCAAGATATTAAACGTACATTTTTATTGATTTTAATACTTTTATTTATCCCCAATAAATTTTTAATTTTTCTGCGACAATCGATTATGAAAAAAGCATAATCGATTGTCGCGTCACTTGAACTTTTTGATCAACTTTCGATTATAATCGATCATCGGTCCACCACTAGGGTAAAATATATTTTCTTTTGGTTTTATCGAAGCGTTGGATTCGAAGGGAAACAATAAATATGCTGAAAACACTTAAAAAGGGTATTATGTCAGCCATGGAATGCGCTGACGTTGCAGCTTTCATTTTCTTTATGTGACAAATAAGAAAAATTAAATATTTGCTGAGGTAAACAAGAGCTTACCAGAACTTGCAACGTTTAAGTCAGTGCTAGGGGAAAAAACACAACCATTCTAAAATTAGCCGCGGATAGCATAAACCCTCTGACTTGTGTGACAACTTCAAAGCGTAAACAAATTAAATTTTGACTTTTCAGGAAGAAATCTGTTTATTAAAAGCGTTATTAATAGCGTGACACTCGTTTCCTTTTGTGTCATTCATGGGCATATCCCGAACGAACTTCCAGATTAAGACAACAATTGCCTTAATCTGGAATTATTATGTCATCATAGATTTCACAAAGGCTAAGAGTGATGGTGCAATAAGGTATGACACAGTTTGTGTTGATCAAGTGATGTGTTTACAGTAATGAATGAATCATCAAGAACTGCTTTGGAATGTGCATTGTGTTGTGACTGTAGTATTAACAAAACAGTTAAATTTTAAAAGCGCGGTTATAAGATCTAAAAGATCTTTTTGTTAAGTTACATTCCTACTGTTTGAAAAATAATCTCCACTAGAAACAAATTTAAACCTAAATATCTATGTGCTTATGGGTGAAATAAAACTAATTTAGTATTAAAAAATAATACAAAGTCAATTAATTTTATTTTTTGTTAGTGTTAGCTACATTCTCTCGTTATTATTACGACTATTTTATCTTTAAAGGTTTTGGCAGAAGCTCAAAAGGAACTACTTAATTATGGAAACCTTGGAATCAGTGTTATGGGTATGTTGAATAACAAAAGTGTAGTTAAGATTACTCAGCGAGCATCATCAATTAACCTTGATTATTTCTGACTTCAAATGGAACATTTTTGCAGTAATTTTTTCTTTGTGCAATTATTTAACGAATTCAAAAAATGTTAAAAAATCAGAATKAGGTGTTGAGATTTATTTGCTAACTTTATTTTGTATTCATTTTCCATCAGAAATGAGCCACAGATCTGCACACTTTGCAAAAATTGTCAATGAGGCTGAGAGTGATCTGAGAGAACTGCTGTAAGTATTTTTAGGATAATGTTTAAAATGCCATCAAAATTTAAATGTGTACCACATTCATAAGAGGTCAAAGGCATAGATTTGATAGTGTCACTCGATTACTAAGATTTTGAACATTTCATGTTGCAGTAATATTCCAGACAACTACAAGGTGCTCTTTCTTCAAGGAGGTGGCACTGGTCAATTTGCGGCAGTTCCTCTCAATTTGGCCAAAGGTAATTTAACATTTCATTGTAAATAAAATGGCAGTATAAGTTGCAAGTTGGATTGTTTTCATGACTTTTTTGTTGATTGTGCATGATCAACCAATTTGTTATTAGTACTACTTTTGAGGGCAGTTTTCATAGTACTTATGATAATTGACTTTGGTAAAATGTTTGTCCAAACTGTTATCAGTACCTAATAGGAGTGCTTTTATTTCAGAGGGAGGATCTGTTGATTACATTGTTACTGGAGCTTGGTCAGCAAAAGCTGCAAAGGAGGTAAATTGCAACCAAAAAAAAAAAAAGAAGAAGACATTTGAAGAAGTTCTGTTATAGCCATCAAGCGTTGCTTTAGTTTTAATTAGGTATCTTACTAACCAGCATCAAGGACCATACTGGGAGAATGTCAGGTCTGGATCTCTTGACTGAGGATCTCCCAGAAAGGTCCGAAGTAAACTTACTTCATAAGAAATTTATTGCATGGCTGAAATGGGTTGGAAAACAAATTCCACAATCATGGACTGGAAAGGTTTTTAGATCCTGGTCCCTGAGATTACTTTTATAATATTATTGACTTTTATTGTTTTGTTGTGAAATAAGAATTTTTCCTGCTGTTCTTTGTCATTCAACATATTGGAGCTGAAGAAAAACCTGTTTTCAGTTTATTCGCTAATTATAATAAAGTTTCCATATAACGCACGC